CGGTCTTGGGCAGCAAAGGTTTCGTCTCCTCGCCCGTTGGAGGAACAGAACCCGGCCGCCACCAGGACCCCTGCCCGCCACCACCCCAGCTCAGAGTCGACACCCCCGCCCGGAAACGCAGCACCCCACTCGGCGTCTGTCGTGATTACATGAGTAGAAAACAGAAATACAGCGTGGAAATTAAAAATCACCGTCTAATCCCTGCCCCCGTATACACATATGTGCGTCTTTTCGTTTAGCGACACATTATGAGCTAGCCAGATTGTCGTTCCACACACTAACCGCTCATTGTGACGCACCCACAGCCCAGCCTCATAATGCATTCTCTCACCTGCTGCTGCGGAAAGCTGGTTGCTGAGAATGAATTCCTGTTAGTAGAATGAGTAGATAAAAGGGAATGAATATTTTCAAGTTGTCGATATGGATCTCCAGAGAGGTTTTATGTTCACTTTCCCTGCGGGCTGCTGTAAAGCAGGTGCGGTTCACCACCGCAAATTAGCAGTGCGGCTTAGGGACGGTTAGCTGACCTCTGTGCATCAATTTCTGCCTCGGGGAAAGTGGGAATCATAGCACCTATTTCAGGGGAATTGAAACCATGCAGGGAATGAGACCGTGTCAGACAAGAAGCACCATCTACACGTTTGCTATTATTTAAAGCACTATTATGATTTTTAAAAGTTGCTTGTAACTTGATAGTGGGAATGGTGTTCTAATGTGGCTATTTGATTAGCAAAGGTTACTTTTTTCTTTTTTTTTTAACAGTAGTGGAGGGCCAGGGATTTAGCTCCGTGGTTCCACCACCTGCCTCACAAGCACAAGGACCAGGGTTCAATCCCTGGTACCAAAACAAAACAAAACAAATCAACAAAACAAACCAGAGGTGGAGATTGAATCGCCCTGAGCTATGTCCCCATCCCTTTTGAAATTCTGATCTAGGAGCTCAGTAAGTTGCTAAGATGCTCCGGCTGTGCTGGAACTTGGGACCCTCCTGTCTTAGCAGCCTGAAGCACTGGAATTGCAGGTGTGTACCTCCACCTTGCCCAGCTGGGTCAAATATTTAACTATCAGTGTTTCCCTCTTCTGAGAATTATCTGCTTACTCACATTGTTCTTTGAGCATCTTAGTTTTTCTTAATGATCTTTAAAACTTATTAGTATAATGGTCCTTTATATTTGTTGCCAATATTTTCCTCAGTTTGCCTTTTTTTTAAAACTGAGTTTATTGGTACACTTTAGGGGTACAGTACAGTTACATTCATTATTGGGATCTTGTACCTTTACATGACAGGTCTTGGTTCTCATTTTTTCCCCTCAGTTTGCCTTTTGCCTTTTCACTATATAAAGTAACCAAGCAATAACCACTGTCTTACTGCCATCCACGTTCTCACCCCTTCTTAAGAGGAATGACCCCAAACTTATCAGCAGGTTTCAGAGACTGCAAAGCCAACTCTGGTCATATTTGACCTCACTGCCTATTTCTTATCACCTTTTCCCCACTGTATCCCAACATTCCAAGTGTTTTCCTTAGGAAAACTGAAGGAGGAGATGGGATCCCCTTATATCACAGTGACCTATAGAGAGAGACAAAAGTACAGATTCTCTACCCAGAAGTACCTTTCCCCCTTTCCAAGGAAACCTCCTCTGAGATCCTCTTGTCCCCTGACCCCAGCTATCAGGAGTCAGCAATCCTGCCAATTACCTTCAAAAGTAGCAAGTCAGGGCTGGGGATTTAGCTCAGCGGTTTGGTGGCCTTCCTTGCAAGCGCAAGGACCTGAGTTACCAATCCCTGGTACCAAAAAAAAAAAAAAAAAAAAAAAAGAAGAAAAACAGA